CCAATGGAATTTCCCATTGGGAACCTACTAGCACTAAGTTGCTAACTGGTTAGCAAGATGCTTCCGACAAACCGGCCACAATCAATCTTGCCCACTTTCCTCCTCTAAATAAAAAATGGATGACGGAGGAGACTCATCCACAACCTCCGACACTAAACTCTCCTCCTCTTGCATGTTTCCGCTGTCCATAGCGTTCCTTGACAGCGTCGTTTCTAAGTCACCAATTTAGTGCTACTTGGTTCCAATGGAATTTCCCATTGGGAACCTGCTAGCGCCAAGAAGCTAACAAAACTTGCTTGAGTACCTTTTCGCGACAACAATCCCGCCCCCTTAATAAACGACCAATCACATTCACTTTATTCACTCGTGTAAAGTCGGGCACCACTCAGGAGAATTCAGAAATGCAACGATTGGAACAGCCGCTTCCCTACGACTTTAATTCCAGCTTCACTTGTTAAAAAAAATAATTATATCTGTTAGAAAATTAACACTGAACCACCAGTTTAAATGGTTTTCCTGATTCCTTGGTGTCCATCACTGTTGAATCTTAAAAGGCGGGCATCCACTGTACGATATTTTTCTGAGTTCTACGCTGCTACAGCTCAAACTGTACGATGAAACTGCCGAGTTTAAAAGTTCACGATGTTTGTTCTTCCACTGAACGGCCCGACGCTCTGATGTGATCTACCAGCCCACACCGCACGTCCAAAAACCACACATTGGACTCAGCGCCAAGACATGTTGCTGGTCGGACTCGTCACTCAGGAAGAAGAAAAAGAAGAAGAACTCTCTTGTTTGCACATGGCAGTGCTCGAGGTTCTGGTAAATTGACTCGAAGTTCTTCTTCAACTGCAGAATTGCCAACTAAAGCCTGGTTAATGCTCAGAAACCAGGTTGTCTGCGCGTGTGTCCCAGTTAGCGCAGTCGGTTCAGTTAGTGTTGCGCCGATGCCCTTTTTTGGCCCCGATACCTGGCTGTGCAGTATCGGCCGATACCGATACCATAATAATGTAAAATAATTGCCATCATGGCTTCATGTCAAGCTGCTGCCTACCTTTGTGAAGCAGCAAAAAATCTAATACAAAGTGAATCCAGTAGAACTTTTTATTGCCTACCAGGAATGGGTGACAATAGTTGAATAAACTTATGGCTCTCAAAATGGTATCGGTGCCCTATTTGTTGGTACTCGCCGATACAGATACCACCATCTTAGGGCAGTATCGGGGGCCCCGCCCGATACTGGTATCGGTATTGGTGCAACACTCGTTTCAATAGCAATACAAGGCCTTGTCTATATGAAGACTCAAACTCACTGCGGATCCAGACATTTGAATTGAGAAAGCTTCCTGGAGAGGAAGCGAAATGTCTTCAAGCCTTAAAAAACCAAGTCCAGTGGACTGTTTTTTTTTTTTTTTACTTTTACAGAACACAGACACTCCTGAAAATGTTTGGTGACCGCAGACAGTGCCTCCATTATTTGAAGACGTTTCCATTCCCATCCAGCCTGGTCAGCCAGGCCAACAACGACCCTAATGTTAGGTTTATTCTTTTATACATCATGTGCATTGTTACTTTGTTAGCCAGATAGAGAGTAGAAGGCTTTCCTTCACATTGTGGATGTCACTGTGTGTAGGTAGGTCATCTAAATAGGACAGCCTTCTTGTCTTTTAAAGATACACAGGATATGGGCACATCTTGTAGCCGGACTGATAGAGGGAAGCTATCTGTAATTATTGTGAGTAGAGGCAAGATGCATACAGGTCAGGGCATGGATCGCGTGTCAGTTTCTGATACGGACAGCTAAACATCCACATGATGCAACACATAGGCTCATGAGCTATAAGAAGGAGAAGATGACCTTCTTCGGGGCTCAATCTTTGCCGGACGCTCGCGGACGTGATTTTTGAGCCCACAGCTGTGCAAGCTCAAAGCATTTTCTCTGTCCTGTAACGACCTGATCTGGAATAAACTCTGTTACTTTTTTACTCCTGTTTTATAGTCCTTTTTTACATGGTTTTACCCAGTTAGCAGTTAAGAGTAGTAAATAACTTGCTCCCAGGAAAAGAACCGGTGGGGAACTGCCTTTTTAGGGGACATAACTTCCTCATTTAACACTAACGACTCCCCTTTTCAGAGGAATAGGCCAGTATCGGGTATTGCAGGCTAAAAAACACCTCAACGACTCTCCATTACTAAGGGGCGGACCTGTTCTTTGGTTCATTTTGCATTTTTTCTAGGCCATAACAAGACTCTGTTGGGCTGCTGGATAAAACCTGGAACTCTATTTCCGATATCTTAAATTGAAAAAGCTTGAAAAAGCCTGATTGGGAAGAAAAACCTCTCCAAACTTGGAAAAAGAATTCCAGTGGATTGTTTAACTTTTTCTCCCTGAGCATGTGTGAGTTCTCTCCGTGTACTCCGGCTTCCTCCCACAGTCTAAAAACAATGACTGTTAGGTTAATTGGCTTCTCTAAATTCTCATTAGGTTTGTGTGTGAATGGTTGTTTTTCTCTGTGTTGCCCTGCGATGGACTGGAGACCTGTCCAAGATGGACCCCGCCTCTCGCCCGTAGACAGCTGGAGATAGACACCAGCGACCCTCGCCACCCCAGCTGGGATAAGGGTGACGAAAAATGGATGGATTGAAGATTAAAAGTTTGGACTCTGACCTGGATGACTGAGAATCTTCACCAGAAACAAACTATTAACTAACCTGAAATTACTCCTGAATCGGAGATATTATTGGATCGCTGACCGATGCAAATTGCAACAAATTTTCTAAATTTAAGGTCATTTTAATAACATAACTTTAGCATTAAAAAAATCTGTTGTGCTAAAATGGGAAACTAATTTCCACATTTGGGAATTTATAGCCTAGTAAATTTTATATACAGTGAGGAAAATAAGTATTTGAACTATTTGAGCTGTTATGCAACTTATTCCACTTAGAAATAATGATTTATTTATTTTTTTTACCATTTATTTGTATGATAGTGTAGAAAACTGATTTAGGTTTTTTTTTCTTTTAACCTTAATTTAATTTCTCTTCCATCCAGTAAAATAAAACCAAAGAAGTGAGATAGATTTAACCAGCTAAGAGGCCTTTGAGTGACTTCATTGCAAACCTCCATTATTAAACATGGCAGTTTGATCTCCTGCAGAAGCTGCAGGAAAGTAGAGCAGAGTAGACGTGTGAGCTAAAACACGAGGAGCAGATTGAAACCAACACTTCAGTCTTTATTGAAGAAGAGCCACTCATCAAACAACGTTGTTCAGTGTTTCTGCTCGGACTTCAACACTGCCTCACAGAGCCACTGTGCCTCAAACGTCCGCTGGCATCGATCCGCCGCAGCCTCGTCCTCGTCCGTGTCACAGCCGCCAAAAACATTCCTGTGACTTTAGCAGAGCTCCATCGACTCTCTCCCTGATCTCCAGTCTGCATATCGACACTTCTGACACCGTCTCCTTGAGATATCGAACGGAGCTGACGGAAATCACGGGCCGCCGCTCCGACCGTCGCTGCAGCGAGCTTAATAAAAGGAGGAGGTGTCAAAACGCTGCAGCCTGACAGAGAGGACTCCAGCGTTACCCATTGATCTGGGTCTACATGTGAAGCAGGACTGTGCAGCTCCTCAATAGAAAATAAAATCTTTAGTTTCACTTCTTCATTCATTTTTGGGATCAGGGATCATTTGTCCTGAAATTTAACAGGGTTTATACCTGAATGAGCAACTCTACTTAATGCTCTTTTAATGCCCTTAGAGATAATTTAAATACCATCAACGAGTAGTCATGACTCCCACATACAGTACAGACCAAAAGTTTGGACACACCTTCTCATTCGAAGAGTTTCTTTATATTAATGACTATGAAAATGGTGGATTCCTAGCAGCTATTCTACCATAAAAGCCTGATTCACACAGTCTCCTCTAAACAGTTGTTCTAGAGATGCGTCTGCTGCTAGAACTCTGTGTTTCTCTAATCTGAGCTGCTGTTAACCTGCCATTTCTGAGGCTGGTGACTTGGATGAACTCCTCCTCAGTAGGGGAGTAAATTGTCAGGTTTATTCAATGATGATTATAAAGTTAATGTATGTGCATATGAAACTTTAAAGAAATGAGATGCTTAACTCTGTTTACTGCAAACTGTCATGCAACGGTGGTAGAAAACTGCTGATGTTTGTGCAAGGATAATCACAGTTATCGGGAGACCACTCTATTCTGTGATTCAATCAGAAAGAGCATTTTGTCCTATGGCCTGATCAATTGCCTTGTCAGA